CCAGTGCTTTGTTACACATAGTATACTTTAAACACTTCAACTTCCACACTCAGGACTCTCAATTCAACAAAAAGGTAAGTGACTCACATGCAAATTAAGCTGCAAACTACTACTGTACACCATGACTATCTGCATATTCCTTAAGAGTGACGTTTCCCAGGACCTCAAGTTAGTGACCCAGCAAATAAAATGTTAGGGATCAGAGAAAAATCCCCATTTTGTCTCAGAGGCATTTTTAGGTATGGTTCCCAATGCAAAGAACAAAACATTCATAATCCATGTGCCTCCAAAAGCCTCAATAATAAAAGAGGGAAAACATTTAACCACCTAATCTCAGAGGCCTCTGGATTTATACTTTATAGCAACAAAGGATACAGAACAGAACAGAACAAGCCCTCTCTGCTGCTGAGGACTGAAATATGTTATGCACTGGGTGTGCTAAAGGGGTTACAGAACTGTAATCCATGTAGAAAAAGCACTGGCACAAAGGAGTACAAACTGAAAGCAACTGTGTTGCCAAGGAGTAGAGCTGCCAGAGCATCCTCTCCCTGTGAAAAAGCACATCGCTTAAGGTCACTGCAACAGCAGCAGCAGCGTTGCAGGGTCTTAAACAGTAGCTTCCATCACAATTCATTCCCTTGCAAGGTGGAGCCTAACTTCTAGCTTCCCCTCCAAATCAATAACACTAATAGGCTAGACCAGGTCCCTCCTGGTCCCCGGTGGGTGCCTAGCAGACACCCACCCCCAATTGCAATCCATCTCCTGCTTTCAACAGTTTCTCTCAATCTCTTCCCCCTCCCTTTTCCTCCCTCCATCCCTCCACTCATTCCTCCCTGCTTGTGCCTGTCACTTTCCAGGAATTGTCAAACCTCCTTTTGTTATTCAGTACCTCCAAAAGAGGGGTTTATATCTATCTTAAGGATCCTCCCCATCCCAGCTTATGAAAGCACAGTAAGACCTTTGAAAGCCAGAACCTGTGTACGAAGGAAACCCCTTAAAGAAGGAAAATATAAATATCTTCCACTTAAATGACCAGAGAAAAGCAGTAAGACTGTCAAAAGGGGAAACCATTTAAGACCTGGGAGAGCGGGGCAGTCCCGCTGAGTCCTGGCTCTCACAAGTCTTAACTGACTGTTTATTACAGGACATGAAAGACAACGCACATAAAACATACAAACCACTCACAGTTCCCACAATTAGACACTCAAACACTGTGGTGGTGTTTTCAGTCTCTATGCCCCAAAGATGTATACTTTTTTTTTAAGATGTTTACTTTTTTAGAGATGAAATATTACACACAATTGGTATATGGTTTTGCTTTCCTATCTGAAGAATCTGTTATTAAAAGGTTCTTTCTTATTCATCACCCAGACAACCTAACAGCCTTCCTTCAACCTCCTAGTCGGGCTCCTCCCACCACATCCCTCTTCCTCCCTGGGCTTTCACTTCTCTGGGTTTCTCCAGGCCTCTGACAGTGCCTCTACCAGGAGGAGGGTCTTAGACTGAGGCGAGGCAAGGCAATTTGGGCAACTGAGAATGGGGAATGGAAAGGCAGGAAGAAAACCTGGCCAGGGGCACTCCTTTATCTCTGTTGATTGGCTAGACAGGAGGATGGAAAGGGTCTGACCTCCACTAGAAGCCCCAAGGTGGTCTAGGCTCCTGAGCTAGCACCCGCGTCTGCATCCTCAGGGAGCCGCTGGGTCAGCCCTGCCTCTTTTGCCTCCACTTTCTCTTCCCTACCAGCTTGATGCTGCTCAAATCTTTCTCATCTTAGAAAGTCTACACTGGCTCTTTGGCCTCCAAGCTCAACTCTACCATAGCTGTCGCTATTCTCCTCTCCCACTCCGCAGCTCACCAGGCTGCCTCTGCTCCCCAATGCTATAGCAGTGGTTCTCAACCTTCCTAATGCTGCAACCCTTTAATACAGTTCATGTTGCGGTGACCCCCCCCAACCATAACGTTATTTTTGTTCCTACTTCATAACTGTCATTTTGCTACTGTTATGAATTGGGTGACCCCTGTAAAAGGGTCGCTCGACCGCCAAAGGGGTCATGACCCACAGGTTGAGAACC